AAATTTGATATGGGGGATCCTCTTTTTCAGTAGAAGGATATTTTCTAGTTTATGGTATTTTTCAATTTTTAGTAAAAAATATTATTTTATCATTTTCCCTTTAGTTTTGAGTCTATAAAAGTCTCTTTTCCCTTTAGGATGTAGGCAATTAGCTTTTGATGAAATAGAAATCCTACTTGTTGGCTGTGGTCATTTTATCCATGCTCTCTCTATCTCTCTATAACTTTGCAATTTGATCCGGTTGCAGCCCCAACAAGATCGCATCACCAGTTTACCAGTCGATTAGATCGGTTGGTCAAACGAGTTATGGGCAGAATTCGAGTAGTTTCTTGCTTTGATATTCTACTCGGTTGAGAATTCCTAATGAATTATGTTTCTGATTTTGGGGTCTAGAAAAGAGGTCTAGGCATAATGTTAGAATAATTAAGCCAAGGAAGGTTACATATTATAAAAGAGATGTACAGAGGACATAAAAGAGAAAGCTATAGTTTTTTGAGAGCTTTTTGGTGAGGTTAAGAGAGGTTTTCTTGTTGGATCTTTTGAGAACAAAAAAAATTAGATTGTTTTCTTATACTCTCCGATATAAAGAAGGTTCAAATCTCTCCCTGTAGATATAGGCAATCGTCGAGCCATGAAAATCTCTTATCCTTGTGCTCTTGGATTATTTTAAGTAATTACTAGTATTTCAATTTAGTTTGAATAAATTTTTTTAAGTTCCGCATCGCTCGATGATTAACTAATCTTAAAAAGGGTAGATCTAATTGCAGTTACAGTGCGTGTGCGCCGCATAAGCACATATAGATATAGTAAGTATCATATCCGAGCCATACTTGGTTGCATCAATCCATGTGAGTGCTTCACACGAATAATATTACCGAACTTAATTGTACTCCTCTTAGTTTTATAGTTTTACTCTGTCGCTTAGTCTCTCCGCCGTAAAACTAAGTTCACACGCTAGCATGGTAGTTATTCTTTTGGGAAGGATGGAAGTTTAGGTAAAGGATGAAGCCAGAAGGAAATACTTATGATCTCTGATGAGTTGTTAACAAATCGTTCTAGAGGTTACATTGCACTGACTTACTGCCCATGTTAGGAGAAGGATAATTTTCTCCTTTGTCAAGTTTCTTTTTCCGTTCGAGTGGGAACAAGAGAGAAGGTACTCAAATTAATGGAGTTTCCTTTCATGTGGGTTCATGCACTTGGTTTGTGCTTTTCTTCAAAAAGAGAGAGTTATGGGCTTGAAGCCAACAGTGTAGAGCCCTACATAGAAATTTCTGCATCCTGTACAGAATTTAGAATTTTCAGGCCCCATACGAGCGCCACACCTGAATTTTATATTCGGACAAGGATCAGTAGGGTTGTGATCAATTTCTCATAAAAGAAATAGTGCACATGAACCTAGTTAGTGTTGGAGTTGGCTCAATTTCCAACTCATTTATTACTACAGTTTTTTTGCATGCAGATATAATTTTACATGGTCTTTTCGGGCATGATGCAGTCATTATTTGGCTTGGAAATCTCCATGAAAGTTGTAGAGGTGCATGTATAGTTTACTCCAAGCTTTGAATCACAGGAAACGAAGCAGTATTGAGGGAGTTATGGTCAGTCAAAGTACCCTACTCGAATCTGGACAGATTTGTGTATTCCCAAGCATTTTGGAAGATGAAAAGATTAATCAAGGCCTATAAATAGGCATCCTCTCATTGTGGAGAGATCATCCAAAAATCATCCAAGTTTTTCTACTTGTTCTCTTGAAAGTATAAAGAGTTAGAGTGAAGGAAAGCCTCTTGTGTTGTTGTAGAGATCTCTAGTGTTGAGTTAAGAAAGAAGGAGGGTGTGTGAGGGCTGTGTGGAAGTCGGCATTGTTGGGTGTGCCGTGTGTGCCTTGTACCCATTTGTTGATTCCATTATAGTAAAATATCCTCCGAGCTCCAAGCTCAACCCGTGGTTTTTCCCGTTTGGGTTTTCCACGTAAATCATTGTGTCCATTATTTGTGTGATTGTCTTTTATCTTTTTTTTGTCATTAAGAACAAAGCCCTAAAATGGTGTTGAGAAGTTTCGCAATTCTTCAACACCAACAGTTAGCTTGCTTAAGTTCTTATGGAAACAAATAAATGGGATTGTAGCCCTTGATTGAAGGAATCAGTTGATATCAATTAATATCAATTCTGAGATACTAGTGATTCACATTGCATCTTTATCACGATAATGACCCAGGTAGGTAAGCAGTCACTACCACATATTTGCTCTAACGCAACGGTTCAAAATCGTTGCACTAGCCATGGAACCGTCACCCTTGAGCAAGTGCGACGGTTCTCAAACCGCCTCATATGCTGCCGTTGCCCTACCTCTATCGTAACGGTTTTGCACTCTATTGCGACGGTTTTTTGAACCGTTGCCCCTGCATCTAACGCAACGGTTTTAAAAGGCAAGCGATTTTTAAGCCATTGCAACGGTTTTGATTGAGCTATTGCGACGGTTTTTAAGCTACTGCGACGGTTTTTTATAGCTATTACAACAGTTTTAAAAGATCTAACGCAACGGTTTTAAAAAGCAAGCGGTTTTTAAGCCATTGCAACAGTTTTGCTTGAGCTATTGTGACAGTTTTTAAGCTACTGCAGCGGTTTTTTATAGCTATTACAACAGTTTTAAAAAACCTAACGCAACGGTTTGGATTGAGCTATCGCAACAGTTTTGATCGAGCTATTGCAACGGCTCTGATTGAGTTGTTCTTGGTTCCCTACGTCAAAATCATATAATATTCAATTACCTGGACAATCTTTTTAAGAACATGGCCAAGTTAAATTTTAATACACAATATAAAAGTAAAAATGTTAAGCATAATCAACCATAATGATAAGTACCAAGATACATCAGTATATTATAAAAACTACAAAGTATTAAATCCACACTACCAACATTTCAACTCAGAAAATATCGTACCGAACTAACATTCAAACAATGTACATCAACATTTGATTACAAAACATGAAACTTCTCGGTCAAAGACTTTATATTCTCTATTTGTTTCCAAAAACTTGTTCCTCAATGTCAAATACTCACTAGGACAGCGACAGCGAGACTACAGAAATAGACCTGAAAGCATCGTCAGCAGAGAGTTCAGGGGGTTCCATGATGCATTCACAGGTCAAATCTCAAAAAAAAAAAAAAAAAAAAAACTCATGAGCAGTTTTTCAGTTTGAGGATCAAAATGGACTATTTTGAGAGCCAATAAATGATGAGGAACAATGTGCAGGCTGCTATGACTGCAGAGAGGATGAGTGTGTCCCTCGAACGCTTTCTTCTTATCGCTCCTTCAATTATAAATCAAGCATCAAAAATCAGTTACACGTATAAAAACAAAAATAAAACAAGGTTTTGCGGAAGGCGTGGTACCAAGGAGGCCTCGAATAATAGGAAATTTTTCGCCCAGATGCTTGACTTTTCCCTGAACATCGCCGAACAAAGCCCTTTGTGCTCCTAGGACTGATCTTGTAGCTTGAGCCTGACTTATCACTTCATCAATCTGGAAGCCAGCAAATCGTTAATATAATTTAGCGCCAGTAAGCAACAAGAGCAGTATGTTCAATTCAACAGTTAGTATCTCTATATACAGCAAAGATGTTTGTCCAACAGTTAATTTTTTCTTTTGTTCGTCATGACATAGAATTAGCAAGACCCCGCAATCTTTTTATTTAGCCTTTCACCATTTCCAAGAGAGACCCATGTTGCTCATAAAACATACGTACATACGTATATTCTTTCAACTCTCTCTAAATATTGTACATGGAGCTTGAAATCTACAAATGCACACGATTCTTACCGCCAATCATGAAGCAAAAGTGAATCAGAATCATATCATAGGGAGGGGGGAAAAAGGGAAACAAACGAATGTGATATCTTACATGACTTGTGCTCCCGTGGACTGAAGCTCTTTCTCTCAATAACTGCATTCTAGGCGACATACTTCCAGATGCCTGTACAAAGTGGCCAAAGTCAATATTTTCTGCGATAATCAATCAGGTATATACACTCGGTAAAATCAAGCCAGCCTCACCTTGGACTCACTGATAGCATCTCTAACAGAGTTAAGAAGTTCGGCATGCTCTCTCATGGAGTTCAAGTTTCCTTTTGTTCGTCTAAACTCCTGAACATACCAATTAGAGTGAGTTGAGTCAGATTTTCTTACGTTAAATAAATGTGCAACTGTTTGATAAAAAACAGGAAAGAATTAAACCAAGTGGTAAACAATGTAGAAGTAAGAAACAATAAAAACAAAAGCAGATAACATATACCAGTTGGCAAACAAACCAAAGAATATGAAATCAACATAAAGAAAATAAACTAACAGAATCTAACTCTAGGGTAAAGTAAAAAGTAGAAAGGATAAACAATAATTTTTGGCATAACTTTAGTGGGGGCCCCTATCGTATCGACCAAATATCATTTGGGTGCTTATGTTTGCAAAACACCGGCGGGGATCCCTTCCAAAGATTAAGGACCTAAATGATATTTGGCCAATACATCAGGAATCTCCAGTGAACTTTTGCATAATTATTATTGCATCTCAGGACCGGTATGATGATGAAGTGGTTATTCATAGATTAAAACAAAGGCAGAAGTTTCACTGGCTAAGTTGGTGAATGAGTACTATATTGATATTTAAGACACATGAGAAAAGGAAACCTTTGTAAGGTTATAGAACTAGCCGTGCTTTAACTGTTAGAATGTTGGACAGGAAATGACTATGTTCTAATCATGACATTTTACAAAAATCTGTGTGTCGATAATAATACCAAGATGAACTGATAAATGAGTGTCTTAGCAAGATTACTGAGGTGGCTTCAATTGAGAATAAGAAAAAGAATGTTTGAGTCGGTTGGACGCATACGTTAAAACATATGATTAAGATGAGTCATAAATGAAGCAACAAAGAGTAAGGATTGACTTCACAAAACAGAAATCGAGGTAAGGAAGAACTATTTGGATCAAGTTCAAATGCACCTGGAAACAAGAAACACGCAAAAAATTACCTGTGTATATTCATGAAGTATGTCCCTATGCCTTGCAAGTTTTTGATTAATAGAACTTGTGGCAGATGCTGTTGCAGCACATCGGCTCATGGAATCATTAATATCGAGCAGCTTCTCTAGTGAGGACTCTATTTCCATTTCCATGGACTTCCATGATCTACTGGGACCAACATTTAGTGATCCACTGTCCACATAACCTGTGATGTTTAAAAAAAAACAATAATAAACAACTAGCTATTACAGGAAAAAAAGAAGAATTATGAGAAAGCACAGCAGATATAAGTTATTATTTTATGAAAGATGAGTAAATGTGTAACTCCCAGCACAGCACAGGATCAAATCAAATGTGATTTCCTTATGATGCTTTATGCTTGCAAATCCTTACAAACTATTTCCACATAAAAGTAAAAGATACCCTAAGAAAATGTATACCTTTTCCCATCTTTAGGGTTCATGGCATCATGTGCACATGTAATTAAATGAATGTATTAAAAGCAAGAGCTAGCTAAAACGATTGTGAATTTAAACCAAGGAGATTCCAACCAAAGTTTATTAAAACTTCCGTGTAAGGATTAATTTCTACAGTTCAAATACATCATTTTTGGTGCCAATTTGTCTTTTACAAACCCTTACATTTGAAAAAAAAAGAAAAATGCTAGAATATAAGGGGAAGAAAATCATCACAGATATTTCATTCCACTACTGGTTTTAAATCAGTCTAATCATATATAGCATCAATATATTTATGCACTGATATATTATGCACCGCACGCTGCAATATATTTATGCGCTGCAATATATTATGCAGGAATCACTGATATATTATTACTGTAGCAAAATGAGCATGAAACCGCATCGGACGCAGAAGAGCACAAACCTTCCTAACATCCAGTAATCTGTTTGTGAGTCAAGTCGACAAATTCAGTGAACGATGAAATGCTAATGATTTCTTTAGGAATGGTACCTGTAATCTGATTGTATGAAAGGTTAAGCAGTCACAGAGCCTGACAATTTCCAAGTATGGGAGGAATACTTCCTTCCAAGGCATTCTCTCCTATAAGAAGTTTATTCAGTTGAGTCAAGTTACCAAGAGATGATGGAATAGTACGTGACAACTTGTTTCCAGATAAATACACTTCTTGTAGACTCTGAATTTGGCCAATACTTGTGGGAATACTACCACTTAAAATCAACGCGCAATCAACTCAGAAGCAACATCTTCTAATATAGTCAGTGACCCAATCCAATAAATCCTATGATGATTCTTTGCTAGCAGCAGAATTATGCATTGATGATATCCACGAAGCAGCTAGAGCTATAGTTCAGATAGATAGATGCTCTTTTATTGGCCCCCTCTTTCCTAGTGCCACACAATCTGATCAAATAGAAAAATAAAAGAAAAGAAATCAAATGGATATTTTAGATAGCAAAACAGTGAAAGTAGCTAACAAAGTTTTCTGGAACCATGTCAACCAGTTTCAAATAAAGAGTAACTTATGAATACATGCACCAAGAGAAGAACGATAAATGAGGTTCTACAAGTGTATAAAGCAGCTCAAGGGACATAAACCTGACACATACACAAACTTTGAAGTTACCCAAAGGCTCTAGCCATTTAAGTAGGTAAAGATGCTTAGATTTCTTCCAGACACTAGAGAGACTTGGTCCAGTTGGTATAAATCCAATCGGAGAATTGGTGCCAATGACGCTGGTGTTACGTTCATGAAGTAACTCAGTTCAATAAAGTAACTGGGTTATTCAGTACTTCGGTCCTTGATAAATTCCAGTCCTTGAACTATATCTACTCATTAGAGAGTAATTACTAATTCCCACAACCCAACATATCTGTACATGGCAAGGTACTGTGCTCTCAGACATTATGAAAAAGCATATCAGGCTTGCATTTTCCACACTTTGACATAAAACAACTGAAATTTCCCATTGATAACATAATATCATAGAAGATCAAGAATATATTGCAGTCACCAGTCAGGTGGTCCGATATGATAAATAACAGGAATAAAGTCTACGTCTTCTAGATTCTAGAGCTTCAAAAATTCACGGTTGTTCTCTTTAACTTGTATCAAACTGACAAACATGCTAAAATTTGCGATGGGTATTTAAGTGCGAGTTTTTAAAACTTTAGGGTATTTAAGTGCAAGTTTTAAAAACTATAGGGTATTTAAGTGCAAGTTTTAAAAACTTTAGGCTATATAAGTGTTGCCAAAAACAAGTGAGGGTATATAAGTGAAAGTTTAAAAAACATTAAGGTATATAATTGTTGCCAAAAACAAGTGAGGGTATACAGTGCAACGTAGGGGAAACTATAGGGCGTGCAATTAAGCCTGACAATAACTCATTTCATAAATTGTACTCATAGTGCCAAAAACTTTGTAGTTGTTGCTAGTATATTACCAAAATCGTTGAATTGACAAAATCAGTTCAAAGAGAAGAAATGCTTCAGTGCACCTACGATAATCCTATATATTTACAGGGCAAGCTCTGCCATCTGCCACCCATGTTATGTAAAATGAATACAATAAATAATTAAAAAAGGCACTAGTTCCCTCATTAGGTTTATGAACAAGCAGAAATCCTCAAGGTTATCTGCTCCATTATATCATATTTAGCACTTACTAAGATTTAATATTGCCTTATTTCTGATGTAGGTGACACTTAGACAAATATAGAAATGTAGAACAGCGAATTACCTGCTTACGATAGTTCCTGCCCCTACTGTTCTTGTAGTACATCAGCAGCATACACTTGACAACCATTGCTGCCTGGCGTACCAGGGTATCTGCATAGAAATAGATAGTAAGGCATTACCAGAGTACATAAACAATCTGTACATTTACTAATGAATATAAACAATCAATGTAAACATGACCTACATTATGATGAATCACAAATTAATTGTCATTGTTTATCTTGCTTTCACAACATCATAGTTCCCAACCCAAGCACAATGAGAACACCTGCATAGTTCAAAAATAAGCAACACATCTAATTCCAATCTTGACACAAGTACAAAGTATTGAAGACAAATTAAGGAGTATCCTCCATCCAATCCCAATCTGATTCATCTTGATTTCCACTGTCTGTTTCATCTTGATCTCCACCTCTTGATTCTTCTTTATTTTCATCTCTATCAGAAAACAGCAATTAGCGCAGAACATGAAACAGCAATTCTATCAGAAAACATGTATGCATGTCACCTGATTCAAAATTCCGTAGACTCTGGAATTGGTACCATCATGGAGTTGGGAGACTCACTCTCTTACTCTCAGTAGTCAACATTTACCTCGGGATCCATGTTGGCGCTGCAGGAACTTCTTGGAAAATTGGTTATGGCATCAACCTTTCTGTTCTTTTACTTACGGGAGTTGTCTTAGAAATATTTTTGTGGACGAGATGGTCTCAGAAAACTTCTATTCCTCCAACATTCTAAAATGCAACCTGGGAATTGATGATCATGATGCCATATAAAGAGGTATGGTTTTTATTCTTATGGTGTTCATAAATTTTGTCTGTAACATATGTTAGATACAAATTTGTTTAAAGGCAGCGTGTATAGTATGACATTGTTTGTCTTTTTCGTTTGCCATCCTGCAAAAATGTAGTTGAAGATTGGTTGTTATTTCATTCGAAAATTGCATTTTTTGCTACGTAATTCCCATGTAGCTTCTGCATGCTTATTGTAATTACCAGTAAGTTCTCTTTAGTTAGCTCTAGTATGATGCTTGGATCAAACTTCTAGCATAAGAAACAAATAAGATCTATTCATTTGGTTTACTCTAAAGCTGGTAACAACCCCCCCCACCCCCCACCAGTAAATTACCTTTTGAAGAGCTCTGGTCTTGGCCGCTTGGCGAGAGATCTCCCTCTCAACGTCGTCTTCATCGTCGTCTTTGAAAGCGAAGGCCGGAGGAGGAGCAACAGGGGGGCTTCGACAACTTCTGCTTCTGGTGCCCCGGAGGAATCCGAAGTTGGATTCCGTACTTCTTCATCGATTGGATTGAAGAAGAAGGATTTCGTAGTTTTTTTAATTAATTAATTTATAATTTTGAGCTGAATCAGTGATTAGAGTTTTTTTAAGGGTTAGGGCAAAAGAAGCGGGGATTTTTATCAGAGGAAGAAAGGGCGTCGAAAGGAGAGTGATAGCGATGAGACCGATGAGGAAGAACACACGAACAAGATTGGAGACCAGATTGGGGATTAGCTTCGAGCTCGAAGACGATATCGAAGATGAGATCGGAGACGAGACCAGCAGCTCGACGACGAGATTAGCTACGAGCTCGACGACGAAATCAGAGTTGAGATCGGAGAAGATGAGATCGGAAAACGGCGAAGAGATTGGCGACGAGCTCAGCGATGAGATCGACAACTAGAGATGATTTCGGCCATGGCGATCTTTTGGGAGCGGATATTAGAAAGGGGGTAGAGATTTTAGAAATGGGTGACGATTTGAGAGAGAGGGAGGGAAGGAGATTTAGTTTAAGCGATAACATATTTAGTTAAGCCCAAACCAGCCTATAAAATCCGCCCAAAGCATATTGGGCCTAGCGAAACGGTTTTTGTAAACCATTGTCTTAAGTCTTTGGTCACGGTTAAAAGCGTTGCAAAACCGTCCCCATAGACACCTAGCGCAACGGTCATAAGCGTTGCGTTAGAACTGTTACGTTAGAGCAAATATGTGGTAGTGAGTATTGACCTCTGCATATTTGGTTAGATAATTTTCATGAAGCAGATTCTAAAACTTGTGTTCCTTGGAGGTAAAATTGCATTATATGGGATCACAAAAGTGATGAAAACTTTGTGTAACAATTGGATTTTTAAAATAAGATGTTTCTATATAGGAATTTTTGAAATCTTCATTTGTGTAAGATGCTCTACACTCACAAGAAATAGAGAGAAAAAAAATATCTGGTCCAAATTTCTGGGCATTTACATAGGCATAGGTATATTACGCCTCAAATATCAAGAAACAATTGTACTATTTTTCCCTGACTTTAGTTTAAGAGCCAAAAAGATATTGTTGATTATGTGAAGTGACATTAGTCAAGAAAAACTAAGATGACTCATACAACTCAGAGCAAACCGTGTCAAAGATCAAGAAAATTGAGTGCTTCCAAACCACGTCATACCGGAATTGACTAAAGACCAAGCATTACTTTTGCAACGACAATGCAACTTTTGCCAAATTATGAGTTGGCACAAGTTATAGGTCGATACAGAACTTTTCATGACACCATACATTAAGCTATAATATAGTTTGATCAGCCCTATTAACCTTAATGCATAATAAGTTTTCTCATTCAAAGTTATTAAAATACTACATAACCTATTCTACAGTCTTAGCATATCGAACAAATCTTTGTATACCATATTTCTTTTCCTCTATTTCTAGTTTTAAATTATAAAAAATAACTTGATTCTTGCACCTAAAGTCCATTTTCAACTCAAAGTATCAAAGTTCTAAATAGATATCAGAGGCTTGAACATGCCGATATGTAGAAGGCTCACATAGTCAGATTATGTACTTTTTTTTTGAACCAGAAAAACAGGGAGAGGTTCCCTGTTATTTATGTATATATATCAAAAAGATGGAAGAGGTTACATGACAAGCCAAAAGATGAGGATGATGAGAACCAATAGTTGATATGGTAGGTGGGGATCGGACCTTGTCGTCACCCACCAAACCAGATCAAAAATGGTTCCGAACATCCCGTAAAACGAAAAAAACATACACAGACAAGTTATAGGTTAAGTTGACAAGATATAACAAAAGTAACAACTACTGTTGGATCCAAGGCCCAAAAGGAGAACAAGGAAGAAGATGATCCAGTCAGATTATGTACTTAAAAAACATAACATAGATCACTGAGTGATATCAAAATGCTTAGGACGTTTGGCGAGCATGGTGAAGGCAACCACCTGTGTCCTGACGTACGGTCCAAAAGAAATTGGTCACATATAGGAGGAAGTGACAAGAGGGCATAGTTATGGTCCAAGACATGGAATCGCATGGACAATCAACTGGTTGAGCCGGAGTTGAACATACCGCATGCGGGTCAGGCAAGACCATAGATGTATCATGAGGTTTGGTTGTATTGATCGTATGAAATTGTCTGGTAGGTGTTGTGGTGGATTGAAGAGAAGGCATGTCACGCCCCGAACTACATTAAAAATTTATAAATATGAGTTTCGTGACAACAACGACCTATGCACAAGACAAGTTTCGTGCACAAGTCAAGCCTGACACTTCATATAACATAGCTATCTCAAAATATACATATACTTGCTTATGATATTCCACAATCTTACCGTTACAATTATTTTACAACGCAAAACACTCTTTGCTGAACATATCACCACTGGAATTCTAGTTTCCCTATAAGCGCATCTTTACAATGCCCACAACCAAAATTTGGATTATTACATCGCTAATTCGGATCTGAAAAAATTGAAAAAAAAACAACGGCGTGAGCTAAAGCTTAGTGAGAATATTTCCCACTAGAGTTCCTAGATATCTAACAAAATAAAAATAATAATTTCCTCAAATTGTGAATTATAAAGTTGGTGCAGGATTTTCAAAAACATGGCAAAACGGGGTCCAAAAAAAAGCACTATTGTTATATTCAAGAACGAAAGTACAAGGTGAATATACCATACGTATTCCAAAATCAAAATTTCTTTAAAAACAAATAATTATTAAGAAAGAAAATGAACTATTAAACTTGGCAAAACAAAAATATTATTATTTTCTCAGAATCACAGTCAAATATTTGAATCTCAAATCTTGATGAGACATACATAAAATATAAGAGTCGCCTCATAGGTCATACTAAGGCTATGAATTTTAACCCAGCAGCATGGAATGCCAAAAGGCATTATGTAGCACATAGTTCCTAGAAAAGGAATGCACCTAACACTGCCATAGGCCGTCGTCCACATCACAAATGCCAAAAGGCCACATCACAAGTACCCATAACGGGCAACATAAATGTGCATTCTAACCATATGGCAGGCACAAACATATCACTCCATAGTGGATTTCTTAGGGTTTTGAAAACATCAAGACATGCTTGTCAAATGGCTTGATTTTGGAAACACATCTCTTATAACATTATTTGATCTCAACAACATCATTTATCAAATTGCTAAATTTTTAAACACTTTCCAAATTAAGTGAGCAGGAGTAACTTATCATATCAATTTAAAATGGTGCAACAAATTCACTTTATTTACTTATATTCCAAAGATCAAATCACGGACTCGTTAAACCGCTGAAACACAATTAAACCATGTATTTCTTTAATAAATTTTAAATAAATTGATATTCAGAGTTATTTAGGATTGTGTGATAACCAAAATCACTTATCACATTTATATAAAGTCAATTTATTTTCAATATCTCATAAGAAGTCAAAATCGTATTATGAGTTAGGTCACGATAGAATCGATCAAATCATATATCATTTTCTATACATAAGCGACATAAAATAATTTTTTTTCAAACAGAAGATCAAGCCATTATAATACACATGGAATTTTATGTTATAAAATAAATACTAGTGAGAAATGAACTCACCACCAATGAGTACCGTTTCCTCAAAATATTACTCCTCCTGAGATTAACCCGATCCTATAATATAAATATATAAGACTAATATTAATTCAGGACAAGTACATATTATAGGATAATTACTATAAAATTTAGAATCAATCAAATCAAATAATAGTTATCTATAAATAGGGTACACATACGTTTTTTTAACTTTAGCAATTTACCCAGCTTAATTCCTAACTAACTTTGAATTTTTTGGGTATGGTTGTAATTTACTGAAAAACAGGGCCTACATGAATATTTTCATTTCTTTTTATCTTTTGGACCTATATACAAACTAATAAACTTTAAGGGATCCCAAAAAAATTGGCTATTTTAGTGTAATTTCCCTTTTCTCTCTCTCTCTCTCTCTCTCTCTCTCTCTCCCCTCTTTATC